TTTGCGCATGCGCAGTGCCAACTTTTTTATTTATAGAAGAATTTAAACGAAATTTGATACATAGGCACTTGGGATAAAGGAAAATCAAACGACAATTTCAAAATTTGGTTTTGCGCATGCGCAGTGCCAACTATTTTATTTATTGAAGAATTTAAATCAAATTTGATACATAGGCACTTGGGATAAAGGAAAATCAAACGCCAGTTTCAAAATTTGGTTTGCGCATGCGCAGTGCCAACTTTTTTATTTATGGAAGAATTTAAATGAAATTTGATACATAGGCACTTGGAATAAAGGAAAATCAAACGCCAATTTCAAAATTTGGTTTTGCGCATGCGCAGTGCCAACTTTTTTATTTATGGAAGAATTTAAACGAAATTTGATACATAGGCACTTGGGATAAAGGAAAATCAAACGCCAATTTCAAAATTTGGTTTTGCGCATGCGCAGTGCCAACTTATTTTATTTATGGAAGAATTTAAATGAAATGTGATACATAGGCACTTGGAATAAAGGATCATCGAGCGCCAGTCTCAAAATTTTCTTTTGCGCATGCGCAGTGCCAACTTTTTTATCTATGGCACCATTTAAGTGAAATTTGATACTTAGGCGCTTGGAACAAAGGAAAATCTAACATTAGTTTTAAAATTTAGGTTTGCGCATGCGCAGTTCCAACTTTCTTATTTAGAAAAGCATTGAAATGAAATTCTTCTCATAAACTGAAATTGAAGTAGCACGTCAAAAATGGATTGCCCATGTGCAACGCTATCTTTCATATTTGTGGCCGGATTTTTACGATTTTAACAGAAGTTGCATCTTATAAATGGGAAATGAATGCAAGTGGAAATGCGCTTTATGTAAATCGTTTACGATTGCTTTTTAACTTGTTTTCCGTGTTGGGACAAAGTTCGGGTTTGGGCCCCTCCCTTTATCAAATCCTGGGACCGCTACTGATCATTATAGGTAATTTCTTTCCGATGACTGATTTTTACGCATTACCTTCAACAAAGAAACAAATTGCAAATCTGCCAATAACATTTTTGAAAGTCCGCTTACTGTTCAATCTATATAGATTTGTATGCACATAGGCAAAAAAGCGGGAATTGGCTTAGGCACGTAAACGTAGGAGATGTTTTTCTTGTTCAAAAGTTTTTCCCATAGTTACTATAAAATTTGTCAGTCTGTGGAAATCATTGAACTATATACTCTGTAACAGTATATAGTTCAATGGTGGAAATCAACCAACGTTTACATCTCCAATTACTTTGCCTGAACTATTGCATTAAATTCTTATGAAGATAGCGTTTGGTCTTCGCCTAAAAAAGTTTTACTTAGTATTCGACTGGGCAAATACATTTTAACTTTCGGTTGTGTGTATCAGTGTATGGCAGTGTATTAGACAGATTTGCTCCCAACGTTTCATATAGAAGTTCCCCACGAATTATAAAGACATAGGGGAATTCTTCGTCAACTTTATTATGTCCCTATGGAATAGATATATTTTTAGAGATTTCCACAACAATTTGAAGCCTCAAAGTAATGTATTTTTAGCAGAAGATTGCAAATCGGAAATTAATAATTCTGTGCTTAAAGGAGAATTAGCTTACAGTAAGTAGTCAGGTTTATATTTCTCAGCGTTAATTTTATAAAAATGATCACAATTTTACTATCGTTGCTAAAACAAAGCTTACCTACTATAAACCTCCGATTCTAGCTCCGATTGGTTACTTTTACTGTTTATAGTTTCAATTTTTTTACATAAGTACATTATGTAAAGTCAACTGTGTTGCAGTAGAGCTCTATCCGAGGCTCTATTCATTATTAAGATGCCTATTAATGGGTAATCTACCCTCCCGTCTGGTTTAGTTGGAAAAAAAGTCCTTGACACTCTAATTAAACTGTTTAGACTGCCTGAACATTACATTACAAATTTATTTACATTTATTTACTTAAAACAAGCCTTTCTTTGACATGTATCCAGTTTGGATTTAATTAGAAGCGATCGCCCACGCACGTAAGTGTGTTTTTCGTATACTTGTACTACACTTGAGCTGGTTCAAAAGCTCTCTTTCGTTTTTAATATTCACGTGATGAGTACTTGTGGTGTGTGTCTTGGACGAAAACAAAACCTTGCACCGGAGAGGCTTTCGGGACTAGGTGGATTGGTTAGTGCTACATTTGTGCTGGTTTGTGCCGTAAAAAATGCCAGTAAACTGACTTTGAATCTTATCCCAATTTTTAGATGTTCTGGAAAACTTGTACAAATGTACACCTTTGTCGCCATAATGCTGAAAATGTCGGCAAGTATTAAAAAAAGTTTGGCCAAAAAATCCTTGTGTTGGAGAAGAACGTATGTCATCTTCGTTGCTTCAATGAGAGCTTTTCGGGGATGTCGTACCCAATACAAAATAATTGAAGATCTCAGGGGATAACTGTTATGTAATTGCAATGTAAACCATTCATGTTCTAAACAAAATTTAGGGTAAAGGTTTCAACGGTTTCTCGTGCTGACAAAATAACTAGCTTTTGCCGCATTGTTAATGGTACCCCACCCCATATTTCTAGGTTCGCCATGCATTTTGGATCGTAAGCCAAAACAAGGTCTTCAATGAGTCCAAATCTGCTAGGTCCGTCTGCAGTACGTGATTAAAGTCTCGTGCAATATGTTTCAGTTCGCATCGTCAGTATTTAATAAAAATCCATGAAGATAGGTTTCATCATTGTGTATGCAAAACAAGTATACGGAGTCAGAAAACAAAGTAGTCGGACCTAATCTCAATTTTTAGTGGAACACCCTGCATATTTTAGGTAATCTAAAAATATAGCATATTAAATATTTTTTCAAAAATTTAGCACACCACGAACGATATTGGTTTTCTATGCAATTTTTTAAATTTTTTAATAACCACAGCGGGCTATGAAAAAATCTTTCACTTCGTTTATATAATTTTTTAATTTACACTCTTGTACCTACCAACTATTTTTTCTACTCTTTGTCTGTTAAAACATATGTCTTTCCAGCTACAATATGAACATATAGTTTGTTTCTAGGAGATTAGCTTTTATTCCATAGCCTACTGTGGTTTAAAGTAATAAAGTTTATATAAATCGCATAGAAAACTAATATCATCTATGATGGTTTATATTTATGAAAAGATAGGTCTACCAAGTGCAAATAAGACCTTTGAATATTTAAAGTTTATAATGAAAGATAAGACTAAAAATCAAATGACTAGCTGACAACTGGAAAATCATGACGACGCAACGCGGCATAGTGGGACTTCTAATAATTGTGGACATAATTTTCTAAAAATGTTTACCAAATCCGAAAGAGCAAGGTAGTCCACAAACGAGCAATTCATTTTTTAACATACGTACACCCTGCATTACTAAGAGCAATTTATCTTATAAAAGAGTACAAGTAAAAAATCATATGAAATAAAATCTACAGCTTTTGAGAATAGGTAATATAAAACTTTTTAATTGAAGTAGAATTTTATTTAATTTTAATGGTACTAGAAGGAAAAAGGGAAGTAAGATCTTTGTATAGAACAATTTTGAGAAGGAAAAGAATGTGGCTTGGTCATGTGCTAAGACGATACGCGGATATGAGACGAAAGGCAATGGATAGAGGAAGATGGCAAAATAGGACCTATGTATAGCAGAAAAATAAAAAAAGACAGTCGAAATTCATTTTGTCACAGCTACAAAAAGCGAAAAATATTTTACAAAAAACTAAATTTACCAATAAAAATTTTGGATTTATCAACAACAATAATGATACCTAAATATAGTTAAATAGTAGGAAACATATTTTTTTCTGAAACTACTTTAGAAACAACTAAGTACATTCGTGTAAAAAGGGTGAAGAAAATGTGGTTTTCCTCTCTAGTGAAGTGAGGAAAGTAAAAAACAATTGCTACGTTAATCTTAATAATGACATTTAAAACTGAAACATACCCGTATCTCTATTGCTATGTGCCAAACTTCATTATTGCATACGATAATTTTTGTTTGTAGTTTCAGAAAAAATATGTGTACAACTTGAGAAGAAAGTGGAGTTTTTCAACTCTCGTTCAATTGACACACACAAAGCGCACTAGGAATGACGAATGTGTTTTTAAATTGAGTTCAATAATTTCCAAACGGTATGCTTTGATGGCAAACTTTTTACGGCACAAACCGGCAGAAACGTAGCACCTCGCGTAGCACTAACTATTTTCTTTAAAACTAATAAAGTAAAAAGTGTCACACATTTTATCATAGAAATCCAGTGCCGTAGAAATAATGTTTTTATCCATTGCAGTTTTTGAGAAATAATACTAATTTATTTTTTTAAATCATTCTAAATGCATTAAGTTCCATAAATTATTGTTAAATTCTGCAAATTGTAATTTATTTATAGGGTTTATGACTTTTTTCTCCATCATTTTTAGTTTTGTTGTATCTTTCCAGTTTTAATCGAGGTTTTATTACAGTTGAACATGAAATATCGGTATCCGCATGTCCATTATTACACACGCAATTTAAACTTTTCTGCGTCTATTCAAATATTTTTGGAGCGTTATGAAAAGTCAATTAAGGTGCGAAGTTAAATGATTCATTTATCAAATCAAAAAATAATGTACATGCTGGAAATTAAGTACTTAACTGAGAAATTCGATCAATCGGTTTATGTACGTTTTCATGAAAAGACCTGCGAGGGGTGTAGCGATTTAAATTATACCTAGGGCATATAAATTTCAAAATTGTATCTTTTATTTTTCAAGTTATGACGTCATAATCATTTTTTCAAATGAGGACCTATATTTTTATTATTTAATCTCCTCAATCTGTTCCCAACGTAAACAGTAACCAGAACAATTCGTGCCCTAAGATGGCTCACTCCAAAGAGGGGTTGCGAAAACAAACCTGTTTATATTTAAAAACAAGTCAGATTCCGCTCCCTAAAAGAAATCTAGGTATATTAAATGAAACGCTAGAATAATTGTCGAAAAAAAAACAGCAAAATATATTTATTTAAATAATAAAATTGCAATAAAGTTTTAAAAATATTAAAATTATTTTTTCCCAAATGCCGGGTTTTTACATTTTGTAACAGTTGATGCAGTAGCAGGTTTACTTGCAGTTCGATACAATGAACTTATGCCCGTCGGTTTAGCCGACACCGAGGACGACACCTTTAATCTTGATTTGACGCCGACTGCATTACTTGGACTTGCTATCCTCGGCACCACCTTTTGAAATGTCGGCGTCGGTATTCCGCATCGCTTCGCCGCCAAAGGTAATAGCCGTCTGTTTGGAGTTTTTCTGGGTGTGCTTGGTCCTGCTCCGTTCGGTAGATGACCTTCTGGTTTAATGTCCGACACCTTTCTCTTTTGTGTTTTTTTGATGGACGTAGAACTAGGACCTGCTATTTCTAACGATTGCTTCACTAAATCGTGAATTGTAGATAAATGTCTAATTAATGTTGCTTTTTTGTTTGCATCTAAAGATAATCCACTTAGAGTGCGTGTTAGGTCGGGTAATGGACTAGAGGCCTGCGTTGGTGGAGAAGTGCTTGGGTCCACCTCCCACGACAGTTCTTTTGAGAGGTTTCCACTTAATAGTTTTGATCCTTCTTTTGATTTTAATGTGTCCAATGATCGATGACGAGTCAGGAGTGCATTTTGAGATAAATTTAACGGCGTGTCTGTGTCACGTGTGTCCTTATTTTTTATTACTGATATAGCCTTGTCGATTAGGTGGCCAACTATGCTTGCCTTACACTTTGAAATTGTGGGTATGAGGGAGCATGCAGACGAACTGACGGTGCTCTGCAAGTAAAAATGGGTAAATTGTTACATTTGCATTAATTTAACAGTTTACCTGACTGGAAGAAGGCGCACAACCGGTTACGAACCATGATTGACCTTTATCTAAATCTTGAGTATTTGGGCATTGACATGATTTTAACGTTTTAGTTAGTGTGCTTTTCATTCCTGATTTCGAACATATCAACTGCACTCGAGATGTAGATATCTGACCGGTTGAAGACGCTGCTTCGCCATTCTCCTCTATAGCAGGCACCCTTTCGAACTCTTCCAATGTATACCCCATAATTTGAAACAAAACTGTTAAATCCGATACGTCGATATCAAACTGTAAACAAAAGGTTATTCGGTGTATGTCTACAATGTCTTCACTTGCCTCTTGTACGTCCAAGTCGGGAGTCCATTGGGATATACAATATATTAATTTTCTTTTTTCTTTGTTAAAATCCGCCATTGGAAGATTAAAAATACGACCGCGTTTTACACAAAACCAATACGTACAAAGTATAAACCAAGACAGGAATCGGCATTGCACATTATCTGGTACTGTGCTTTATACAGAATGTGGGGATTTTGATATTGTTGACAGTGTACCTGCATTATAATGATAAGCTCGATAATTTTGCAAAATTCTGTAAGGTACTAATAGAGTAACGTTAGCGACCTAAGTAATTCAATTAAATTAGGTCTCCAGATTTCTTATGATATTCTTTCGCATGGGCTATTTTCAAACAAAACTTGGTAAATAAAATATGGACAAAATAGAATTGAATGCTGCCGCATTTGTGAAATTGTTTTTTTTTCTGTTTTCTCTGCAGTTCACAGAAACAAAGTAATTGATTTTTGTTACATATTAATAAGTTGTTAATTGGGTTCTTGTAAAATTTGAAATACTGAACGAAGGAGAAGAATCTAAGATAACGGCGTTTATTTTTACTAAAGCAGCACCATGTTGGGGATTTGAAAATTTAAAGGGGGAAACTCCAAGAGATGGCCATTGGCCATGATCTTGTTTTGCTGTAAAAAGTGAATTAGATGCAAATACTAATTTCAAATTAATTTTAAACTCTCATGAAAATACTATTTTTTACTTTGTGCGTTAAATTTGCTAATAAGCACTTCAATTAAATTAAAATATGTTTATTTTTGTTTAGTTTCCATAAAACCTTCAATTTTATTTTATCAGAGTTATTCATTCCCTTTATCTAATTTTAATTTATACTGTTCAGTAATTAGGTTGATTTTATTCTACATTGACAGAAACTCGATTTTTTACCATCGCCATTTCTGCACTTCCAAATGTAAAACTTAAAATTCAAGCCGCTACGTCTTGTTATTGATCGAACGAGTCATCGAGATTACTTTGTTCTAGTAATTTTTGTTTTATCAGATTCCATCTCGGCATCTTTCCAGTGTGGGTGAATCAGGCTCTACGACTTCCAAATCAATTTAAATATATCCCGAAGGACCGTTAATAGAAATTATACGACGATAATTTAAAATTCTAACATGGCTGATATCTTGTGAAGTTTATGTATGAGATTTGATGAAAATTTCATAGCTTACGTTTAGTTTTTTTTATTATTTGAACGCGGTTTATTTTATACAATAGAACACGAGTATACTTTTATATTCTGAATAAATCTGAAGAGGAATTTTCCTCGATTCTTACATGTCTTATATTTCCTCTCGTTTCATATAATGTACTTCGGTAGTCGTAGGTAACGAAAATAAACGTATGATGAGTGGATTTCTGGATTTTTATCTGTTTCTTCAAGATATTTGAAAAGTCTGGTTTTCCAATATTGCAGTTATTATCCGAGATTACTTATACTTCACTTGGTCCGCGAAATTAATAATATTCTTAGCGGAATACAATTTTTGTTTTACAGTTACAGTACTCGTTACGTGCGTATAGTGAATATCAATACTTGGATTATTAAACGGCAGCATATTAAAAAGTAAAGGACTCCTTGACACAGTTGATAAAATGACGTCTTTACCTGAAACCTAAATGCGACAGATGGACATTTCTCACGGAAGGTGAAGTGCATGTCAAAATTTTACGCATAACTTCTCATTACCTTAATCTAACTTTAAAACTGTCCTCCCCTTCTGACATATAATCAAAACGTTCAGAATATCAATTGTGATCGATAATTTCTCGTGTCATCTTTAGTTTGGTGGGAATTGATTTCGCAAGTATCTTCCGAATTCTAGCGTCCCCATTGCGTTCCACCAGCATGCCCAAAGTTCGTCAGATTTAGTGACATAGTTAGCACCCCGATAATGTAGGGGATTGGACCCATTTTGTTGTATGACCTCAACGGAGATTTGGTCATCACACGCTACTGGATTATGGATGCTGGATCGCGATAGGAGGGTGGATTGGGTCCACACGTATTTAAGACTCACATTCTGGCCCTTTGTACGAGCTCCCTCAACGTCACTCAAGCCATTGCACACGTGAGATGAACCTAACGATGCTGGAAGGGAAAGTGGTTCTAATCGTAGCCATGGTGTCCGGCCGCGTCCCCCAACATCGATCGTCTCAGTTAGACTAGATAATAATAATAATAATAATAATAATTTTTTATTTCATGTGCAGGCAGTACAAAAACAGCTTACAATCGTCATACAATGGAAAATGAACACAACATATTTACACATTTATAAAGATATAGCGGAATTTAGATCGGGACATTCACAAAGTATGTGCCGCCTTGTCGTCTATGTAACGTTATCTACAAGATGGTGATTTTACCACAAGTAACTTCAGCTCCTTTCTTAAGAGCCATGTGCAAAAATGCGCCACGCTACGAGATAGTCCTCTGAAGGCCTCTATCACTGCGCGATTGAGTTACTGAGAATTTAACACAAAGGTCGTCAGTAAAATGACATTACCTGACTCGGAAATTAAATCAACTTTTCCTGGCCAGTAATGTATGGAACGCCGTTTTACTTTTTATTACGAAAGTTTACAATGTAACATTATAAACAACAGTTAATTTTATTTCCCGATTTATTATGTTTGTTGTTTTTATGTGAAACATTAAATATGTTTGTTTAAAAAACTTCACTTAATTGAAATGATGTATGAATTATATAGCAATGTGTATAACGAAAGTTTAACAATACAAATCAACAAACGAATACATAAACGAACAGTAATATAACTAACTAGAACTAATTCAACAAACATAAAAATTTATTCATATTAAATGTGGGATTAAAATTATGAACAAACATTTTAATTCAACAATCATCATATTAATTCAATTATTGAAGTGTTGTACAAATATTCCCAACAATCATTTTAATTCAACAATCATATTAATTCGTGCTGTTAAAATCGGCAAGAATTATTTAAAATGATTGTTGAATTAAAATGTTACATGAATTAAAATGTTTGTTGATAATTTTAATTCGTATCTGTGATTGTGCGGAAGTTTCAGGAACTATCCTTTAGGTTTAGTGTATTTGGGTACGTGTATACTAGCGCCTAATTAAAATTATCACCAAACATTTTAATTCATGTAACATTTTAATTCAACAATCATATTAATTCAACAATCATTTTAAAAGATTCTTTTACTACGTCTAACAATAAAAATTTATTTGTTTGTTGAATTAAAGTGATTGTTGAAAATATTCGGCTTCAATTTTCAAATCGTCGAATTTATATGACTGATGAATTAAAATGTTTGTTGATAATTTTAATTCCACATTTAAAATGAATGAATTTTTATGTTTGTTGGACAAAATCGTTTTATTAATCGAAGTATTTCTTGCAATTCAATTTAATTGTTTGTTATTAATTGTTTGTTGAAATACAGTTTCATATACACTCATTCAATATAACAATATAATTCATTTCACATTTTTATTAAGTAACATTTTTTAAACAATCATATTTAATACGTAAGACAATAACAACAAACGTAAAAAGTAGAGGCATACGATTGACTGTTATTTAAAATGGCACATTGTAAAATTTTGGAATAAAATTGTACAAATATTTTCAGAGAACATTTTAATTCAACAATCATATGAATTCATGCTGTTAAAATCGGCAAGAATTATTTAAAGTGATTGTTGAATTAAAATGTTACATTAATTAAAATGATTGTTGATAATTTTAATTCGTATCTCTGATTGTGCGGAAGTTTCAGGAACTACAGTTTAGTCTATTTGACTACGTGTATACTAGCGCCTAATTAAAATTATCAACAAACATTTTAATTCATGTATCATCTTTATTAATCAACATTTTTTTAATCAATCTCTTAATACGTAAGATAAAAACAACAAACGAAAAATTTAGAGACATAAGATTGACTGTTATTTAAAATGATACATGATAAAATGTTGGTATAAATACTAAAACGGCGTTCCATAGTAATGTATCATTTTCCTGACTTTTATGTAAATAACTATTACGGAAACCACGTTCTGATCCGATATGAAGTGAATGGGGTGAAATTGTTACAATTGTTATATCTACCCAATAATAGCTTAGACAAAGCTACGTTGTAGGGGTGGTTTTTTTACGTTTTCGCGGAAGGATCAACAATCGATATACGATACGCGCTAACACTCATATACCGCTCATTAGAATATGAAGATTACAAATGTATCTGGTGTAAATTATCTACTTTACTGCAACTTTACCAACATTTCGCTTTCCTTTTTGACTACAACAAAAATTATGGCTCCAAAATTTCATTTGCGTTCTAAGATTGTTCGTTTATGATCAAAATTATTGATTAATTTAACAAAAATTACGAAACAACATTGCGAAAACCCCCAAAATGAATCCGAAACAGTAGTATCTTCAATCGAAGTCATGTCGTAACCTAGCATAGAGACACGCAGAACAAAACTACCTAGGATTTAAATGATTAAAGGAACGTACTCCTTTAGGAAAGAGAAACCCGAGGAGAAACCCATCAATCATCGTACCTTGCTTGCTACAAAATAGGTTTCAGACGTTAGGTTGAGATGGCCGCATAAATGTAAATCGACTTTTGTCTTTCGCAAACCATCGAAAAGAAATTAATTTTGCAATTGGTATAGGATAATTGACGGGTCTGTTCTTAGCGTACGAGCTACTACTGCTTTGGCTCTTAAAACTCTATCAAATAGTTTCGTCTATACTTACAATACAAAACAATTACAGTAGGCGCCTATCTGCATTAACAGTGAGGCAGAATAATTAGTAAGTGCTAATTACGAGAAAACCGATTTTATTAACTGGTGATTAAATCAGCTGATTATCACTCAAGGGTAACTGATGTTATTATATCGTACCTTACAATTGAAACCTGAAGCAATACTAATTAGCCCAATAGGCATCGGTTTATTACCGAGATAGTCCTGGTATTTCCGTATTGATTAATCTATAGATCTACACCCTGTAGTTGTTTGGTATTTGTATAGATTGGCTTGAATGAACAGGATAACAGGCCGTTAGCCTGGTTAATTAAGGCGGAAGTAAGTAGAAGGTAGAAGATCATTTTTTTAAGAGATTAGAGCTGCGGGAATTTACTTGAATGATTGCCTAT